TTGTAAGTGTTCATTTTAATGAAATACTTCAATTGTTCTTCATATTACTGTTATTCCTTTTAATTTCTCCTAAGTCAAGCCACCAGTAAAAGTCCTCTTCACTGAGGCTGAAAGAACTAAAACACAATCGTCTGGTAATTGGTTGGCAATCACAATTTCTGTAAGGACTGATTGATCCTTGCTGGCACGCTCACATTTACAAAAATACCCTTCGAAAAGCCAAAAAAGCTAACATAAGGATAATTAGGGCATCTATGGTGAATGAGACAAAAAAACATCTTAAGGCATTTTAATTAGTGCCAACTGGTTTTCTCATTCTTTAATGTTGTATTTAGTTGAGAGATTTGATAAGAGGTTTGAAAAATAAAATAAAAAAAGTAAGTGAAATGTGAATAAAACATACTTATATTTTACTTAATTTTACACATTTTTTTTATTTCTCTTTCTAAATTCCCCCCCAAAATTTCTAACCAAACACAGCAAGGGGCTTTACATTAGAAGAGGCAAAATGCCCATTTTGATTTTGGCTCTCCATAACTAAATAGTCTTCATTGAGAGACAAAAGGGTTTCCCACTGAAATTGCACTATCTATCTGACCAAATACTCTTCTTTTGGTTGATTTTATATGTGTATTGCATCTAATTGAGTTGGTTTTGTATTTGTATATTACCATTTAAAAATCTGATCGTTTGAAAATATCTTTGTTTTTAAATAATTTAATATATATATATATATTTAAAATAACTTAATTATATGTTTAAAAATAATGTATATGTGACACCATAAAAAATCAGAAATATCAAAGAATATATTAAAAAATAATACAGGGTTTATTTAATGTTACAAGAGTAGGAAACGTCACTAATAAGTTCTTTAGTTGATAACCAAGTAAGATATCAAGAAGGTCAGATGAGTCAATATAGTTTCCCTTTAAAGTTCAATCACCTTAGATAGCAAAGTTATCTTTTTGACAGATCTTAACAAGATATTAACACAAAACCTACATGAGTCGACGGCAAAATCAGAATTAAGTAATACAAAAGATGTGTATATAATAATTACAAAATCATGTCTTAAATATAACAAGGAATTTAACACTTACAATCTCAAAACATGTTTATAAAACTACTTTCTAATTCTCTTAAGGTAGCTGTACATCCTCAAATGCTTCAATTTTGCCTTTGACCGGTCTAATAGTGACGCAGCGGTAGTGTAGTGTAGTGTAGAAAGGAACTAGATATCATTCTAGTAGACGAGAATTCTTGAATCCACAAGAATACCCTTGAATCCATAAGGAAGATAGAAGAAAAGCTCTTTAAAATATTATTGAATGAATGAATGAATTACATATGCTTGTAGGCTTATTTATAATAGACTAAATCTAATACTTATACGAAAAGTAATTCCAAAATAAACTAGGAAACTTAAATCAACACAAATTAAGAAACCTAAGAGAATAGGAAACTAGGAAACCTAAGAGACTAAAAATTCTAAACTATTTAAAATCCTAGTAAAAAATCTAATTCTAAATAATAAAATTAAGAAATATAAAAATTATAGAATTTTGTTGTACACCTTTCTTGCCTTTTGTCAGTCCAATTGTTCTAAGAAATCTTCGGCTACTTGTTCTAGATCACCATGTCATTAAACTCATATCAAATAAAGACAAAGCCAACATTTTCATCAAATCAAGCCTACGTTTATTTTTTCATCAAATTTTAGAGATGACCGTTGGTGGACGACCGGGTAAACGACTGGCCAGACAATCTCCTGAACAATCGAATTTTGGAATGAATTTGACACTTCGTCGAACGACCGGCATCGTTGGAGTGCATCGTATCAGATCAAATTTTAATCTAACTTTTTTAAGTAAATTTTTTATTTTCTGACTTTTTATAAAGTGAAAATAATATCAACATAAAATAATTACAAATTGATGAAAGTACAAATAATTTATATATTAAATTATATATTTCTATGACTTTGCAATTACTGTGTTAATATTATTTTTTTGTAATTTTCTCAAAATGTTTTATATGTAAAAATATATGAACTGCATAAAAATTTATAAGAATATATAAAATTTGGGTTGAAATTCTAATTTTTATATTATTATTTGATTCTTGTCATTAGCATGACTAAAAAATAATATCAACTCCACATTTGTGAAGATATGATGAATGCAGAAACTTAAAACGAAATTGTTTTTTTTTTTTAATAAACGAAGTTGTTGTTTCGACTACACTCAATTTATATTATTTTTAAGAGTGGGTGTCACAAAATTTGTAAGTGGAGATAAATTTATAATGATTTCTCAAATATATTCCCTTTGCGAGAGGGTTATGAAATTATCAAAAGAAAGTGTAATATTACAGTACAGATAAAGAAAATGACTACAAATTTTTCTTAGTTATTGGTTTGACACTTATTATATGATTAGAATGAATTTTGTTTTAATTTATAAAGTTTCATCATTATATGACATAATTCTTTTTAAATTTATTAATTTATATGACATTTTCGTAAAAATGAATGGTAGATTTCAAGAACACTAGAAAAGTTCTTAGATTTCACATCAACAACTTCAAATTTAAAAACCATTAATTTTACAAATGTCAGGAGCCACAGATCGTAGGAGTTGTTTGGGATGTGTTAGATTAATATTTTTTTTTATTTTTATAAAAAAAAATGTGTAAAAAGATAGTAGAAAGTAATATGACTCAAAAAAAAATTTTAAAAAAAAAATATACGCTATTTTAGTTCATGTCAAACAAGCTCTTAATGACCAATTAGAGATTGACCAATTACAGACTAGAGTTAATCAGGATAGAACTATGGGATTTCTCATCGGGATAAAGGGTTTTTTTTTTTAGGATCCCTGGTATTAAGACTTTATAGTATAAAGGACATCTAATATTTTCATAATGTCTAAGGTCCCTCAATTTGATCCAGAGAAATTCTGCTCCAGAGAAATTTCAACCCAGAGAAATTTCCATCCAGAGAAATTTTGGTTTGTTCAATTTTTTTGATTTTCTATGTTTTGAAATTTCTCTAGGATTGAATTTTTTTAAATTTTCTTACAAATAACTCTGTGATTTGCTGCTTTGCTTGCCTTCACTCTTGGTGTCAAGCAAATTATGAACATTTCTCTGGCCTTTTCCAGAGAAATTCTCTCCAGACAAATTCCCAAATTTCTCTAGATGAGAATTTCTCTGAAGAGAATGAGAGAAGAAATCGAACAACATCAATATTGCTCTCCTTCTCAACAAGAGGGTTTCAAAATTTGATTTCACAAACATTGGGTTTTATACAAATTAAGCATTCTAGGTTCCAGCTCGAAACCAAAGAATTTCTCTGGACCAACCCAGAAAAAATTCAGTTCAAAAATCAGAGAATTTCTCTAGTTTCAACCCAGAGAAAATTCAGTTCAGGTGATCGTGATTTACCATTTCTTTCTGATAATGGATCATCTGAATCAGCTTTGCGGTAGGAAATTATAAGATCCTGATCACTTGTGATATATATGTTGTTTGTGTTGCAATCAGGATGCCACAAGAGGTGATCCTCAAATGAAGTTACGAGCTCCTCATAGAAGTTCCAAACAACCACCATCCTGTTTTTGAATGTCAGGAACAACTGGTTCTCATATAGAAATATAAATGCAGATGGAGTCATAAATTCGGTTCTGCTAACTTTTGTTAGTTCAGAAATGCGAACCTGCAAATAACAAATATCAGATATTAAATATAGATTAAAACAAATTATTTCAAAACCACAAGAAAGATCCTCACATCAAGAATCTGAAGATTCTCACTTTCTTACACATGTATGGCTTGTTTCATCCAAAATTTCTCAAATTGATAAAAAGTCCCCCACGGCAAGGGCAAGTACCTGTGGTCCGACGGTTGCATGTATAAAGGCGAGTGGAAGCGAGGCAAAGCCAACGGCCATGGGCGCTTCTCTTGGCCCTCCGGCGCCACCTACGAGGGCCACTTCAACGCCGGCCGAATGGATGGCATCGACACCTTCTTCGGCTCCGACGGCGACTCCTACATCGGCTCCTGGTCCTCCGATCGCAAACACGGCTTCGGCGAGAAACACTATGCTAATGGCGATGTCTATGTTGGTTCATGGAGGTTGAATTTGCAGGACGATAATGGTAGGTATGTTTGGAGGAATGGAAATGAGTACATTGGGGAGTGGAGGAATGGGGTTATTTCGGATAAGGGGGCTGAATTTCTCTGTGATAGATGGAGGGACCTTAAACATCAAAAAATAATATTGTGGCTTCCATTACTAAAAATGGAAGAGGGACTTTAGACTAATTTTTCCCGGGATAAATCCTATCTATATCATTTTATATTTTTCTTTTCAATTTAGATTTGCATCGATGATCTCTATTTTGTAAGCTCCACAATAAATGTCATCCATATAAAAAAATTAATTTCATCAGAAAATTATAAATATAAAAATAAATCGATTTTATTTTATAAAATGAATGATAAATATAACTAAATTTAAATAATTTATTTTATAAGATAAAATATGATTTATTCTTATATTTATAATTATTTGATTAAATTAATTTTTTTCATGATTAATCTTCATTGCAGAAATAGATAGTTCCAATTATTAGTGTAAGTTCGAATTAAAACTCATAAAGAGATATGAAGAGATAAAATATGAAATGAAACTTATCCATTCATCATCTAAAAACAAACAAAAACTTAGATCAAAAAAATATTTAAAAAATATAATCTAAAAACAAACAAGAGAATAGTGATGAGGTATTCAATGAAAAATAATACTAAGGATCAAAAACTCATATTTAAAAAATAGTGTAGCTAAGATTCGTAGTGTGAATTAATTTCAAATTTCATAAAACTGTAGATAATAATCTGATTCTTAATTTTCTTTTTCATTAATAAGAGAACCAATAGTCACCACTAAATAGAGAGAAGGCAAATTGAAGAAAGAAAATACTAGCAAGGAGTAGCTCTGCATTTTTATTTATGATAATATGTTGAGAGCTTGTTTACATAACATTTACATTTACTTGCATAAAACAGTAAAAACTCACCACTCAGTAGTAATCACAACAAAACCATATGTATATATAACAAAAACAAACAAAAAAAACCATATATATATAAAGAGTAGGAGCTATAGCTCACAACCCCTCCTCAAAGCTCTTCCTCTACCTCTGACTAACTTCCTCTGTGTCCAAGGCTTTAAGCATAAGCACAACCCTCCTCGTACTCGTGTTCGCGTTCGCGTTCGTGTTGTTGGCGAGGCCCCTCGAAGAAGAACTCGTCCTCCTGATTTTTGAACACTTCATCCACTTCTCTTGCCGCCGCATTAAATGCCAACTCTTTAGCCTCTGGCGATAACTGATTGATTATGTTCCTCCTTCCTGTGTAAAACAACACCCCCAACCAAACACTTGTTAACAGCAAGAAAATAGAGAGAAAATCATCAACTAGATAGAAATCGGGACATATGTGTGTGCCCGCTTAGTTGTGTGATTTAATTTACGATTTGAGAAAAGTCCGGTTCAAATGTTGTGTGACTCATTTATACATACACAATACCATAAAAAATTAACAATTCAATATTGAAGTAGTGAACTGTGATAAATCTATCAAGCCTAACTATTTTGAACTAGAATTCTCTCCAACCCAACTAATATATGACATATGTAAGTTAATTCATTTTTATTAAAGTTTACTTTTGAATCAAAAAAAAATTATTTTATAAATTCATGTAAATTAGACAATCATAAAAATTGGGGGAAAAAAAAATCATAGAAAACATTTTTTTTTGTGTGTGTGTTTAGAGAATTTGTTTTAAAATTTTTAAATTTAAAAAATGGACGGCTCTAAAGACATAAATTTTATTACTTCAAATTCTTTTAAAAATTACTAAAAACATAAATAAACTGAAAGAATAAACCACTGCTAATATTTTTTAGGTACATAATATTAATAAAAGAAGAAATATCAATTAGTGAGAAAGCCTGAGAAAAATTTTAATTACCTGCAAGAGGGAATTTCTCATTGTTCAGAGCATTGACGTCGAAGCAGACAATTTGCAGATTTTGATTCTTGGAAGCGACGGTGATAACTGGGTGACCGGGGGGAATGATAAACACCACACCACGGCTCAGGCGGCCGCTCACTTTCTGGTAGTTTGGGCCACTGCTCCTGCGTTGCTGCGGGTGCGATCCTCTGCTGCTGCTGCTGCTGCCACCGAACTCCGAAGAGGACAAGTGAGGACATGCCATCTCAAAGTATCCTTCCCCATTAGCCACCACAGCTATCTTTGTGGCCCTTGAGTTGTAGTATGGAGCTGTCATTGATCCCTACATCAACATAACCAAATTAATAAAAATGACAGTTCCAGTACGTGAGATTCGGTTACTAGGAAATTTATAAAGATTGTATTATGATTTACACACCGTTTGTTTTAATAAAAAATATTTTCCATTGAAAAAAAAAAAAAAAACTCATAATTCAAGACAATAAATAATATGACAATGACATTTTTATACTAATTTACGGGCTACAAGAATGGACATTGGATAGTTATAAATGAGACTGAATTTTTTATTAGTAAATTTTGTTTGTATAGCATTTCTATTTCAAAAAATAAAATATCCGATGGTGGTGGGTTGGGGAGTGGTGGTGGGGTGGTGGTTGTGGGCTTGTGGTGGCAGCGGTAGGATTGGGTGGTGCCGAAAATGGTGGGATGGTAGTGGTGCCATGGCAGTGGCGGTGGCAATAGGTTGAGATTGCAGCGGGAGGGGTGATGGTCGGGTAGATGTGATGGTAACAGTGATAATGTGGGGTTGCTTTGATAAAAAAAAAATTCTTAAAAATATTTCACCTCTAGGAAACATTTGGCTTCTAAAAAACATATCATTTCAATGCTTAAAAATGGAACAACCTTACAGCTGCCAAGACCAAATCAAATTAATATAATCCAAAAATATGCGAGAGAATATTTATGTATCTAAGGAAAAATGTGTGCAACTAGAAAAATTAATCCTACGAGAGAAGAGTACCCCGGTAAAATTGGCGAAACCAATAGCCAAATTGAGTTCACGTAGATCCCTGAACTCATCAGGATCGACCTGGTACAATTGTCCATACTGATTTGATTGGGAACGGTGCTTGCTAAACAGATTACATGTGTGTTTAGATTCGCCGCCAAATGGCTATATGCCACCACCTTCCTCATGGTGTGTCATGGCTTTAATCTGTTCTTCAGATGCTTTGATGATTATGCCCTCCCTCTGTCCAAATAGCCTCTGAATCTTATCCCTCTTTGTCTAATGTTTCAGAAGAAAAAAAATGAACATTGTTAGTTATAACATTGATGAAAAAAATTCAAAGCTCAATTTTTACACTTGTTTCACCCAACACTGGTTTTAACCATCGGACTTACGTTCAGAGCGGCTTCAAGAAGGCTAGAGCTGAATGCGCTGAAATACGACTCTGGATTTTCCCCTCCTGGCCCAAAAAATGCCTACATCACAACAATTTTTTAGAATTTAGTATACACAATCTACACAAATTGTAATACTACGTATCTAAATTTTTATTCAAAATGTTACTCAAAAAATATTAATATGTGATTCAAATTCACTCCATATATGAATCAATAATACACCAATTCAAGTTTAGCCACAAGCAAAATTCTGAACACATTTTATGGATAACCAATTTTTTCTGCACAATTGACATGGCACATCCTACCATTTTAAGGGGGGGAGGAAATTAGGAAACTTAAAAAAATTCAAAGAATTTTTTTTTTTTTAAAAAAAATGACACTTAGTTGGACCCATAATGAATTTTATCTAGGCTCCTTATTTCTTGAACTATGTTTTAAATATTTTCCAAACTCGATAGCAATATTGTAGATTAAATGAAATAAATATGAAAAAAATTAAAATTTTCAATGGTTTTACAAGCATAAATACCAATTCTTGCCCAAAGAGAAAACATAAATTTCAACAAGTAGACAATTTTTATTTATTTGTTTTAATGGGAGAGTTGAAAGCTTTAAGACAAAACTGACCTCAAAATGACCAGGAATGGATACAGGCTGAAGGAGTGTCATGATGACAAGTTTCTCATTGTTAGATTTATTGATCAAATACACAGTAGTCCCCTCCGGAATTCTCAAGATATCGCCACATCGAAGATTGAAGCTCTCCCTCCTATCTTGATGAACCAGACTTATACTTCCTTCTCCTGTAAACAAACAAACAATTGATAGAAATTTTAAATTAAAACTTTAATACCCAAAAAAATAGGGAAATTTCACTATTTGGGAACTTAGATTTGTAGTAAAAAAATTAAAAAATCACTAATTGCAGGTCTTTTTATAAAAGGACAAAAAATTAACTAGAAAACAAAAAACTATACCTCGTGTAACAAAGAATATGCCATCGGCATCCCGGTGATTTGGTACTACGAAGGTTTGAGGTTCAGTTTCAAGAATCGCTAAGCGATAATTCTCAATGCCGCGAAGAAGCTTTGACCTCTCGGTGAACTTGGGTAGAAGCCGAACTCTACCGCGCTGAGTCTCGGTTTCGATAGTGAAATGGTGGTCCTCGAACACATATGGCTTGCTGCTCTGTTTGTAAAATAAGTTGAGAGAGAGTTGAGAGAGTGATATTGAAAGAGAACTCTGTTGTTGAAACTATATTCAGAAACCAAATAGAGGCTCCATAATATAGGAGCTGGTTACAAAACATCATTATGATATAATTCAATATAATAAGGAAAAGGAGGCCGAAAGAAGGCGGGCGACCGAAAGCAGGGACAAAGAATGACAAAAAATCCTATCTAGCTAGATGTATGACCATTATATACATACTATAATATATTAACATACTGTATTAACAATTATATTAATATGTTAACAGCCCCCCTCAAACTCAAGGAGGACAAACATCAACCAACTGGAGTTTGGAGACAAGTTCAACGAAGCGGCCAGGAGAATGAGCTTTGGTGAAAATATCAGCAGGTTGATCAGCAGATGAGATTGAATGGAGATGGACAGTACCACGAGTGACATGTTGACGAATAAAATGACAGTCAATCTCAATGTGCTTGGTGCGATCATGAAAAACATCATTCTGAGCAATTTGAAGAGCACTTTGATTGTCACAAAAGAGGGTAGTAGCGCCAGAGGGGGAAACATCCATGTCAGGAAGAAGCTAACGAAGCCAGAGAAGCTCCTGAGTAGTATCAGCAAGAGCACGATATTCGGCCTCGGTACTGGAGCGAGCAGTAAGAGATTGTTTCTTGCTGTGCCAAGAAATAAGAGAATCACCCAAGAAAAAGCAGAACCCGGTAGTAGAGCGGCGGTCAGTAGAATCCCCAGCCCAATCAGCATCGGAAAAATCACGAAGCTGGAGAGAGGAGCGGGCGGAATAATGAAGTCCATGAAACAAGGTACCTTTGACATAACGAAGGATACGAACTAATGCAGCATAATGAGGGGTACGAGGAGCTGACATAAATTGGCTGACAATATGAACGGCATAGGCAATATCAGGACGAGTAACAGTGAGATAGACAAGGCTGCTAACCAGCTGACGATATAGGGTAGCATCAGAGAGAAGAGTGCCATCAAGAGGTGTAAGACGACTCTGAGGCTCTAGGGGAGTGGAGGCAGTCTTGTAATCCGTAAGACCAGCACGGGTGAGAAGATCAGAGGTATACTTAGCCTGAGAGAGAAAAGACCCCGTGGAATCATGGAAGATTTCAAGACCCAAGAAATAGCTGAGAGGACCAAGGTCTTTCATCTCGAAATGATGGCTAAGAAACTGTTTAAGGCAAACAATACCATCAAGATCGTCACCGGTGATAATCATATCATCCACATAAAGGAGAAGCAAGGTGGTCCCTTGAGCAATGTTCCGGATAAAAAGAGCAGTATCATAAGAACTGGAGGTGAAACCACAGTCATGAATAGTGGAGCTGAACTTGGCAAACCAAGTGCGCGGAGCTTGTTTGAGACCATATAAAGCACGCTGAAGTTTGCAGACTTTATGAGGTGGATAAGTAGAGCCAGGGGGAGGTTGCATGTAGACCTCCTCAAGAAGAACACCATTAAGGAAAGCATTTTTCACGTCCATTTGATAAAGATCCCAGTGTCGGGTGGTAGCAACCGCAATCAGGCTGCGAACAGAGGTGAGACAAGCAACAAGAGCAAAGGTCTCCTCATAGTCAATACCATATTCTTGGTTGAAGCCTTTTGCAACAAGGCGGGCTTTGTAGCGCTCAATAGATTCATCAGAACAAGTTTTGATTTTGTAGACCCATTTGCAACCAATGGCAGTCTTGCCAGAAGGAAGATCAACAATGTCCCAAGTGTGAGTTTTGTCTAAAGCCTGCAATTCATCAGTCATAGCTTGCTGCCAAAGAGGATTAGAGCGAGCCTCACGATAGGAGGTCGGTTCATAAGTAGAAAAAGCAGTAGAACCAACAATAAAGTCACGAAGACGAGTAGAAGGTTGGGTTACTCGGTGTGGTTGAGTAGAGGCAGGAGGAGCCAGAGGAAGAGACTCACCAGGAGGGGAGGATCCCGAGGGAGCAAGAACAGGACCATCAGAGTTAGCAGGTGCATGGGACAGACCAGTAGGCAAGGCAATCTCGAGAGAGGCTGGTAGGGGCGGTGGAGTAAGCTCATCAGAGAACTCGAGAGAGGCTGGCAGGGGCGGTGGAGTAAGCTCATCAGAAAACAGATCCGTGGAAGGGTCAGTAAAAAACAGAGAGGGTGAGGGAAAAGACAAACGGAAGAGAGAGAGAGAGAGGAAAACATTTTGTGTTCCCAAAAGACTACATGACAAGAGATACGGAGTCACTGGGAGAGAGGATCCCAACAACGATACCCCTTGTGTTCAATACCATACCCTAAGAAGCAACAAAGACGAGAACGTGGTTCAAGTTTGGTACGTTCATAAGGTTGGAGAAGAACAAAACAGACAGATCCAAAGACCCTAAGGTTGGTGTAAGGGAGACGGGTGCCATGCAGACGCTCATAAGGAGTGTGATTATGAATGACAGGTGTAGGGATACAATTGATAGTGTAAGCAGCAGTAAGAGCTGCCTTTCCCCAAAAATGTTCCGGATAAGAGGAAGACAGAAGGAGAGCTCGAGTAGTGTCGAGAATATGTCGATGTTTCCGTTCAGCACGTCCATTTTGTTGAGACGTACCAGGACAGGAACGATGAGGTTGAGTACCATGACTCTGAAGAAAGGAAAGAAAGTCAAAATCTTTATATTCCATGGCATTGTTAGAGTGAAAAAGCTTAATATTTTTAGAAAATTGTGTTTTAACCATTGCAGCAAAATTGTAATAAAGTTGTTTGAGCTCAGAGCGATTTTTCATAAGAAACAACCATGTAAAACGGGAAAAATCATCTATAAAAACAACAAAATAACGTGCGCCCCCCATAGTAGGAGTAGGAAATGGTCCCCAATTATCAGAATGAATGAGATCAAATGGTGCAAGCGAAACAGAGTCGCTTTTATTAAACGACAAAGCAGGTTGTTTGGCAAGTTGACAGGAAACACAATCTAAAACATCAAAACTTACATGACCTAAATGACCACTGGAAATTAAAGATTTTAAACGACTAACAGAAAGATGGCCTAAACGACAGTGCCAAAGCTGAAAAGGAGATAAAGGAGGAGCAGTGGTAGCAGTGGTAGTAGCTGTGATCTAAGAAGAATCTGGAACATGAAGATGGATGAGTTCGTAAAGACGTCCATGCTTACGGCCTATCCCAAGAGTTTGCCCCGTCCGAGGGTCCTGCACCAAACAACCAGTATGGGAAAAGGTAACAGTTAGACCATGCTCACATAATTGACTAATGGAGATAAGATTTAAAGTAAGAGCAGGCATAAGATAGACATGGGATAAAGATAAGTGAGAGGTTGAAACAGAACCAACATGACTTATAGACAGAAGAGACCCATTAGCAGTATGGATAGAAGGAACATAAGGAGTAGAAGAGAGAGGAGTAAAAATAGTAGGGTCAAAGGTCATGTGATTACAACAAGCGGAGTCAAAGTACCAAGAAGTGTTACCTGCGGTGACAGATAAAGTAGTAGATGGAGGAGTACCGGAATTCTGCCAAAAATGTTGAAACATGGCTTCGACATCGGTTTGAGAGAAGACTGGAGTGGAAGGGTCTATAGGGACAGAGGAAGATAAATCCTCTGAGGCAGCAGCAGCAGTGCGTTGAGCAGGCATTGGTTTAAACGGAGTCCCAGAACGGTGAGAGTGGCTGCGAGAAAAATTCCCGGTGGAAGGACCATTGCGAGAGGCACGGGCAGGATTGCGGAAGCAATCTTGCTAGGGATGACCAGGGCCAGTCTTGTTGCAAAACCGACAAAGACGAACTGGACAATTAACCAGAAGATGAGTCGACGGAAGATTGCGGTTGTGACAGTAATTACAGGCAGTTGACCTTTATGGTGAAGGTGGGGAAGGAGAACTTCGAATCTGGGAAGTGGCAAGAACAGAGTCCACAGGGTGTGGATGGAGAGTACCAAACCTGGTTTCCTCTGACAGGAGTTCAGAAATTGCTTGCTCAAGAGTGGGTAAAGGAGTGCGATGAAGGAGAGATGCGCGTACTGGCTCAAAACGGGGAGTGAGAGCCATGAGAAATTGAACCAAGCGCTGTTGGTCACGGTAAGTAGTAAACAAGGTAGCATCCTTAGTATAATCCCATGGAGGTTCAGAAAGAGCGAGCTGATCCCAAACATAACACATTTGGGAGATGAAATCATTAATGTTCTGAGTTGTATCTTGGCGCATACGGTGAAGATGACTTAGAAGCTGATATTGGTGAGCAAGGCCAGTAGTCTGATAGTGTTCTTGTAAAAAATCCCAGATGGCCTTGGCGGGAGAGGAATCAAAGTCAAGTTGGAACCGACCAAACTGAAGGCTGATAGATGTAATAGAAGTATTGCGAAACCAAGTGATGATCTGATAGTTTTTACTATCCCAATCTTCCAGTCGGTCGACATATTCCCTTGAACGAGTTTGCACACATCCCCAGTGATGATGCGCCAAAGTTTCTTTCCTTTGAGGAAGCCAGACATAGCTTGTGCCCATAGGGCATAATTAGTCCCGTCAAGAATAATGGAAATAGGGTGGTTAGAGGAGTCCAGGCGATCCATGAGAGAAAAATAGCACAATTGAGGTAGAATCTGAAAAAACCGAGGTTACCAGTGAATTCAGATGGTCAAAATCAGTCGGAAAAGGAGTGAACGGACCAAAAATATGACCAGAAAGGCAGAAAATGGATTAGTCAACGAATCTGGTCAAACAAGGATGATGCAAGGCTGATGTCACAGGCGCGACGCACGTTAGAATAGAGGTGTGCAGCGTACGTTAGCAGGGGAGAAACACGCGGCGCACGGAAGCAGCCAGGGCTGACGTCGGCTGACGTCAGAAACACGCGGCTCACGTTAGCAGATGAGGTCGTGGCGCACAATAGCACCGGACAGTGTAGGAGGCGCGTAGAGCGCGTCTGAAACGAGGAAGCGCGTTGTCTAATGTTCTGGCGGCGCATGGAGGTGCGTGAAACTTCAGATGATGATGAATCTAGTGGTGTTGGCTTCGTCGTGAAGAGACGAAGGTGCTGGTGTTTTCCAATCTGTATATTAGGTAAGGACGAGATACGCAGCAATCTGCCAAGAAAAGAAAATGTGATGCAGCGGAAGAAGAGACTTAGGAAAAACACCTGTGCTCTGATACCATGTAAAATAAGTTGAGAGAGAGTTGAGATAGTGATATTGAAAGAGAACTCTGTTGTTGAAACTATATTCAGAAACCAAATAGAGGCTCCATAATATAGGAGCTGGTTAAAAAACATCATTATGATATAATTCAATATAATAAGGAAAAGGAGGCTGAAAGAAGGTGGGCGACTGAAAGCAGAGACAAAGAATGACAAAGAATCCTATTCAGCTAGATGTATGACCATTATATACATACTATAATACATTAACATACTATATTAACAATTATATTAATATGTTAACACTGTTGTTGTTCCTGTCTCTCGGACTCTTCCTCACTACCTTCGTATCTAAAAGGGCGAGAGAGAAAAAAAAAATTAGCACTAAATTCATTAAATTCAACAATATAATTACTTGGGTAATTAAGGAAAAAAAAGTCACTCACTCGATCGAACTTGTTAAAAATTAAGCTTGAACATTCAGCTCGTTAAAAATTATTCAAAATTGACTGTTACATAAATGAAACAAGGAATAAATTACATTTTTATTCATGTTGTTTAACCCAAATTTTAATTTACTCATTATTTTAACCTTTAACTTAAACGGAATAATCAAATAAAAATTAGACTAAATAAAATAAAATTTAAATAAAACTAGACTAGTTAAAACTATAATTAGAAGTTTTAAAATCTTAAATTTTTAAGAATAACTAGTTAATTAATTTGTTGTCTTTGATTTTCTAGTGTTTAGATTTTATAAGATAAAGGTCTCATCAATATTTTCACAGAAAAAATTCTACTCAGATAAATTTTGCCTGGCTTAGAGAAACAATTTTTTTATAAAAAAAATTGAAAATTAAAATTTCTCTAACTTAGGTAAATTTTTCTCTGAGTTAAATTTCTTCTATAAAAATATTGAGGAATCCCAATTAATAAAAAAATATCTTACCGATTGCAAAAGAATGTTTCACTAGTTTTTTTTATTATTAAATGGTAGTTGATTTTAACTTTTCAAGGTGGAGGCTTTTAGACTTATTTTTAGTTGACCAACCCTACCATTAACGCCTATTTTAACATCAAAAAATTTTAGTCAAAAAATATTAAAAAATTTACTATACGAAAGTTAACTTCTCTTGCTATTTTTTTAATTATGCTTTTAAAAAATAATACATAAATTTATTTTTTAAACTCAATAATATATCATTAAAATAATTAATTAATAATTAAAAAATAAATAAGAGAGAAAATTAATTTAAATGTTTTAATAAAGTGATAAGTGAATTTAATTATTAGAGTGGAATAGCAATACCTTGGATTACCCTGTCCTTGTCCACGTCCCTGTTGCTCTCTGCCGCTTTCTTTCTCTCTCCTTCTTTGCTTTTCTTCCCCGTACTTTTGGCATCTCTGCATGCAAGGACGGATCTAAGATTATGACTTTGGGGGGGCCAAAATACGTTTAACCTCTAACAAATAAAATTTGAAATTCAATACCAATTTCTACTAGTATGAAAAAAATCAATAATGTTACGATAAAATATTGAACTATATATTCCTTGTCAACATAGTTGAGTACCAAAAGATGATCATACAATTGAGAATATTTTTTTTCCCATATTCACTTACAAAAAGTAGTAAATATTTATACATACATTTATTTACTAAAATTAGGCATCTTCAATTGAGCTCAATGCTCTTTCATAATATCAAAAGCATCGATGATAGAGTCTACATCAAACCCTCGAGCAATGTCTTGTTCAATGTACGTAATCAAGTAACTAGTCAGAAAACCATCTTCCATCCTATTGCGCAATTTAGACTTAACGAGTTTCATAGCTAAAATTGCACGTTCCGACGTAGCAGTTGAAACAGGTAAAGTCAACACAAGACGGATCAATCTATCAATAAGAGGATAACTTGTCGACTTTTTTGTTTTTGCCAACATTTGACACAACTCAGAAATGGTTGACAGTTTCTGAAACTCGGGAAGTATGGAAATATCAAGCTTATAGTTTTCCAACTGATACTTCAAATGCAATTTTTCTTGCTCGGAGAAATCCATGGGATAAAATTTATTTGCAAGTTTGCAAATATCCTCAATGTTGAATGATCTATAACCATCCCTAGGATCCAAAGCTGAGCTAAGAACAAACAATTCCATTACATCTTCCTTAAACTTATTGTTTAATTCTTGTAACTGGGAATCAACTGTAATCATAAAAATATCAACTCGAAAATGATGTTCCATGGTGAGCTGATCTCTTTCAGAACGAGACCGACCTCGGCCTCCTTTATAAGGACAACTCATATCAGGAATCTGTATACCATGATCATTAGAAAATAATTTAATTTTCTCCAACAATGGAACCCATCCATCTTCTCTAAATTTTTGAATAAGTATCTTCGTTGTAAACACCAAATGCATTGCATTTAATATATCTTGAGATTTACTCTGCAAAGCTTGGCAAAGATCATTAGTAATCTCCATGATATCTCTCATAAGATGTAAGATGAAGACAAACTCAAAAGATGTAATGGAATCATAAACTCCATCTGCCTCAGCTCGTAGATTCGATTTGCTTCCATCATTAATTATGTTTCTTAGGACTGCACAAGTAGCACTGAACATGTTTATCAAACTACAAATGGAACCCAAATGAGAACCCCATCGAGTATCTCCAACCCGTTTCAATGTTCCAATCTGATTTTTTCCTTTACCGGTCTCGAATTCATCATCAATGGCAAGCTTTTTAGCAATATCTGTAGCCTGAGCAGCTCTTAATTGATCATGTCTTTTGCAAGATAAGCCAACCATATTAATTGCTCGAGTCAAGTAAGAGAAAAATTGATTGATAGATATAACCAGTTTAGATGCTCTTACTAAAGCCAATTGGAGCCGATGAGCAAAGCAATGAACATAATATGCGAATGGACACTCAGCACAAAATAAAGCCTGCAACCCAGTCCATTCTCCAGACATGTTACTGGCACCATCATATCCTTGACCACGAATATTTTGCACACTAAGGTTATGACGAGAAAGGACAATACAAATTTCTTCTTTCAAAGTTGCCGGCGTGGTATCTAACACATGAACTATGTCAAAGAAACGCTCTTTTATAAAACCATATTTATCAAGAAATCTCAAAACAATTGCCATTTGCTCTCTTTTCGATTCGTCTTCAGATTCATCAACTAGAATGCAAAAATTCCCATCATTGATCTCCTCATGAACGAATTTTTTGTATCTTATCAGAGAAAATACTAAGAATCTGCTTTTGAATCCCACAGGAATGATAGGAAGCATTTTGAGGAGCATTTTCCAAAACCACTGCTGCCACATCCTCATTATAAGAAGCCAAGAGCTTTATCAACTCAACAACATTCCCTCGGTTGTTAGATTCGTGGCGTTCATCACGACCTCTGAAAGCGCAGGTTTGGAATGTTAACCATTTAATCACATCTATCGAGGTCTTCAATCGCAAATGATTTCTAGCAATTTGTATGGAAGTTTGTTTTTAAATAATTGCCTCAATATGTTGCGCTTGATTTGTTAAATCACAACAACATTTGATAGCAACTCTATGCGATGAGTTAGGATCCTTGCCCATATGCAATAACAAAGGACAATTCTTCCCTTCATTGACTTTCTTCCAAGAAGAAAATCCCTCGACTGTAAAAGCACTAGATCCAGGGCGTCCAGTTGGCTTAGTAAAAAGTAAACATGGAAGGCAAAACGCACGATTTTTTGTTGGAGAGTATTCCAACCAATCCGGAAATAACTTGTACCAAGAATCTAAAAAACGACGCCCATTCTTATCAGTTTCAAAAGGTTGATTGTTCGGAGCCTTGGGTTGATATGGCCCGAATTTGATATAAGCACGTCTGATCTCATCACGTTTAGATACCGAGTAATCCCATATTTGTTGACGCAACCCCGGATCCCTCACCAAAGAAGATGTATCAACATCTTTAGATTCGACTCTTGGAAGTTTAGAAGGACGTTGTTCCAGAGGAGTTGAAGTTTCAACATTATTGGTGGAACTTTGAACGATATTTTCAGAACCTCTTTTCTTAAAGAAGAAATCAATTTTTTTGTTCACTATGATTAACTTAACAATTGTACCTGAATCACAAACTAGCAGACAATTAGACCACCCATATTCAAACTTCAATCAACAGACATAAATATAAAAACAATCACCTCAAATAAGCCCATTAATTCTTAGACATAAATAATAATTGTATTTGATTAAAAAACTAACAGACAATTGAGGCACCCATGTTCAAATTTACAAAATACCCTACTGAAGTAAAAAAAAGAAAACATATTGCATAAATCCCAATTAATCTCAGACATAAATTATTGAAACTTCAACCAACAAAGACAGAAATATGAGTATAATATAAGCTCAATCCATCACTATCTCACAATTGAGCCAATTGTATGCAAATTTATTTAATACCCTTCACTCTAAGCATCCAAAATCAACAAATTAAAGCAAACCCATATATGATATAACTTTAATCCCAAAAAGCCACAAAGATCAAAGATGAGAATATTAAACTTGAGAGCAAATTTATTTGATTACCTTCTTAAGGACAAGGGCTAGGTGTTGTTGCACTCCGTAACCGTATCGCTCGTCTCGTCTCTTTATGCTGCCTCTCAGTTGTTTTGTTTACTTTATTTTAATCTTAGTGCTTCTTTAAAGCTTCTCCAGCAAGTCTTAGCTTATATATATATATATATATATGTAAAAGTTTCATATTTTACACTTTGACCCACTAAAGTTTCTAAAATTTTGCTTTCATCTTGACCTAATTAAAAAAATACATATACATGAAATTTAAAATAGATTATTATATATGTTAAATAATTCAAAAAAACAAAGCTTCCAAATAGTTTAAAAAATTGGGGACTACTCTATATAATTTTGAAATTATCTAAAAAAAATTTGGGGGTACGAACTCCTATAATTTTAAATTATTTTAAAATTTCTAGTATAAATATAGATATTTTTCAATTTTTGGGGGTACGGCCCCCCCCCCGGCGCCCCCCTTAGATCCATCCTTGTCTGCACGCACTCTTGTTTTTGCCCCTGGCCAACTGTTTTTGTTCCCTGCACTTTTGCTTGCATTGTTTCAGCTCTGGGTCTTCTGTACCCAATGTTGCAGTGCCTAACACAAAAAGGAAACACAAAACCAAAACAAGTAAACCCAAATTTTGTGTTTTTATTGCTGCCATTTTTCATTGTTTCCAAGTTGTGTTGTGTATGAAGAATAGATAACTAGTGTGTGTGTATATATATATGCATGAGAGAAGGGCATGCATGAAGATGGGTGTCCCTCTTACGTGCTGATCGTAGGAAGAGAGATATCGCCGCGTAAGTGTACCAACAAAGGCAAAAGAGTACCCTAGATTAGAATGAATGAATGACGACAAAATAGACACTAGTGAAAGATCATGAGGACCTATGAAGCACGGGTACGGGTACGAGTCCGAGTACTGGTATTGATACGATACGGGTACATCGATACGGTAAAATTCAAAAAATGTAGGGTACGGGTACGACTTGGTACTCTTGTAAAAAAATATTTATTTTTAGTTTATAGTATTTCAAAAATTAATTAAATGGTTTAATTTGGTTAAGATTCAACCTATAATTAACATTTAATGCTAAAAGTAAAGGTATAAATCAAAATTAAATGTCAATATATTTTACAAACCATAGTTTAATTTTAAAACATGCTAAGTATAAAACTAAAAATAAAAAAAGAAGTCTAGTTAAAGGAGTTTTATCTCGATAGTAGAAGAAAAATATTATTTCAACTGAGGTACGACACGGCTTGAGTATATAGTAGAGACGTCTGGGTACGCCAAAAATTAAGAAGAAAAAATTTGGGTACGTGCTTCGTGTATGCAGAAGTACCATACGAGGTACCAATACGCCGGTAAGTACCCGGTAACGAATACGGCATGTTTTTCGAAGTACCCATGCTTCATAGATGAGGACAGAATGGTGTCGTGCTGATCTTATTTTGATAATCTGCCTTATTTATTTTATAAAATTATATATATATTATTTATATAAAAAATTAATTCAATTTGATATTTATAACTTATTTAATTTATTATATTTATATTATAATAAAAAATAAACAAGTAATATATTTTTAAAAATAAATAATTCATTTTTAATGACAAATATAATAAATTAAATAGATTACAAATATCAAATGGATTTAATTTTTTGTATAGATTATATAAACAAAACAGTTGACAAAATAAACTGTTCAAATTATTAAAATATGATTCATAATATGCCCTTTAAGCCTAAACAATGCCTTCCAAAATTATTAAATATTTTACATAATAATTACATGAATATGGGTCCAATGTAATATGGATCCTACACCAATACAAGTATTATCTAAAAAATTTAATATTTTTGTCCATTTGATGACAAATGAGTGAACAACAACAAACGTGGTAGTGTGAAAAGTCGGGATGCAAAACAACGCGTCGCCGTGAATTGATGCAGGTGTTCACGTGGCAGTGGTAAAGTAGAGGACAAAAGTTCGTGGCGTTCGGAGTTGAAAGATGATCAAATCTGTTGTTTTGTCGTGCTTTCGTGGGTGCTACATAGATATTTGCCATTTGGTGACCCATATGAGATTCAAGTTGAGGTTCCATGGAAGCCTCAAAGGTGTGATGTTTGTAAGACTTTTGGTCATACCACTAATTTGTGCCCTCAAAAGCCAAAGATCTTGAACCCTCCATCTTCCAAACAAGAGTGGAGAGTCAAGGAGACTAACATACAAGTTCCAACTAAGTGGGAAGTGGTGAAGAAAAAAAGGAGAGATAGTGGGCAAGGTTCAACAACAATGATAAACAAAGAGGAAGAGACGCAGCGTTTCACCCCATCAATATCTAATGCTTTTGATGTCCTTAAATCACGTGATATGGGAGAGTTGGGGAATGGAGAATTAAATCAAGAGTTGTTGTGTCCAACAAAGAGCCTAAAAAGTAGAGGGAGTCCATCTCCAAGTGATCCTATTAATGGGGAGACTACAAAGGAGGATAACAGAAGAAAACTCAAAGCGAAACTTCATTACTTGATGTCACGACCCAAACCCGGCCCTATGGGTTTAGCACCGTAACCGGCCAGTAATCCGAGATTACCGAAGGCCTGCAAAACAGTAGTAAAGTAAAACAGAGTACAGGGCCTGGCGGAAGCCAATACAGTAAATGAATAATGTCCATTGAGCTGTGTCAGTCTGTATGCCAAAAAGATTTTTCATGCATTCACATATACAAACAGTACAGTCTATACAAAATTTACAGTCACACAGTACAGGGACCTAATCCCTTGATGACAGTACAGTAAACATTCAGTCTATACAGAACAGTAGACGGTACAGAAGGGGGAATTGTAAAACACCACTAAGCCTTAACACAATAGGCTCGGAACCTCGCAGTGAGGCACATAGGCTGGCTTGACAAAACTGGAGTCTAACCCATGCTCCTAGCTCTGATCTGGTGGCTGAGCACCTACATATATATACATAAACAGTGAGCTAAAGCCCAGTGAATAACATAATGCGTAAAGGGGTTATGAATGAAATGTCCTTACAGTAATGAAAACAGTCCATTAAATCAGTATTTCAGTCAGAACAGTTATTCAATCATATGTGGTACATCCATTAGCATAGCAGTAAACAGTAGGTCTTAAGGACCGAACAGTATTGATGGCCATCGATCAGTAAACAGTAGTGGTTCCACGAGGGAACCGACAGAGATCTTTGTAACAGTAACAGTCAGTAACAGTAGTTGCTAAGGATACCACAATACAGTTCAGAATAGAGGACATACATTCATTCAATTAACAGTAACAGTTCAGAAAGCAGTACAGTTCAATTGTTCAGAAAATAATCATTTTGAACATATCTTTGCGCAGTTGTTACTCACAGAGTTTGGGCTACAGTATGCTAGAGCGTGTCTCCCCAGTCGCCAGCCCTACACAGTTCACAGGTTGAACACACACTAAGCTACACAGCTGGAAAAGATCATAATTTAATCCCTAATGCCTCGGTGTGCTCTACATCTATATCCTCAACAAGATGCCTTAAACTAGGCCTAAGAATGCCTAGAATGGGATGAGGATGCAAAGATGTGATCAAAAAACAGTCTCGGAGTTTTCAGAAAAACAGAGTCCCGCTCGAGCGCATACTTACCCGCTCGAGCGGACATGCAACAAAGGTACACGCTCGAGCGTAAACTTTCCCGCTCGAGCGTACTGTAAAAGTACTGGATGGGTGAAATCTCCGCTCGACGCCCGCTCGAGCTTG